ATCAATCATGCATGAGTGATGCATGATTGATGCCCCGTGCGGCGCTGTGCCGGGCCCCACATGTCGCGTCCCTCCCCCTATTATTAATTTTTTGATAACACTAGGAAATGTAAAGTAACATTAATAATTAGCATAGAGAATGTAGTCATAAGAGCCTATATAATTTACCTATAGCCCCGATAGTCTATTTTCTCTTAATTGTTTTTCTAGTAGTAGCAACAATATAAATAGCAATACCATTGTAAAGTGAAGATATAGAAAAATAGGGTAGAGATAATCAGATAGAAAGAAAAACAGAAAAGCAAAAACAATAATTAATAAACACAGCAATTAGTAAAATTGAAGCACCAAATAAGAAATATTGTAATTAATAACTTACTATTTAAGTACACACTATACAGGGAAGAATAATCACTGCTATAGGACATAGTCCAGGATTATCAAGAGAAGAGCTGGTGTTAGAAAAGAAGAGAAAAACTTGTTAATAATGAAAGCTCTGGCTAAATCAATTTTATGTGCCTTGACTTATATTAGTTATGCAAACTTTGGACCAATATAGCGACTGACTTGCCATTTTCCAGGTCAATAATATCAAGTATTATATATAATTGAATATTTACTATATTCACATAATGGAGATTATATTAACAAAAGATATTTAAAACTTAAAAACTATAAGAAAAATTTTTGCTGGAACAACTAATAATACTAGTTCAATAAAAAAAGCAATACAATATCTTGGCATAATTCATATAGGATATATGGCACATATTTCAAATAGAAATTAATGATGACATCAATCTTATTGAAGATTCTTTAATAAAAAAAGTTAGAGTTAAATAATTTTTTAACAAATCAGGACAAATATTGTGAATAATTTTATGATATACAAAATATATTTTTCTAAAAAACAAAAACAACATACAGTATATATTAAATATCAAATTCTTGATGCAATTAATAGTGACACAAAAACTAGATGAAATTTAACATTTATTTTTATTGAAAGACTACATAATGCAATTCTATAATTACAAATTCAATTATTTTAAAATTCTGATTATAAAATTAGAATGTATACAAAAATCTTAGATAATTTTCTTTTAACAAAAAATCAATGGTTGGATATTATAGAATTAGTAAAATTACATGAATCTTTTGCTAAAACAACATATTTAATAGATAAAGGTTCTTACTCTACACTTTCTCAAATGTTTCCTATTTTATATTGTCTTTTTCTTCATCTTTATCAACTTAATTTAATTTTATAAATCTTGAAATTCATAAAGTTTGTCAAAAAATTCATTCATCAATAAATTTATAATATCAAGATCCTCAAATAATAGGATTTTTGGCAACTTCTTTAGATCCCAGATTTAAAAATATGACTTTTACTACAAAATTGAAAAAAAATCAAAACTATTAATATTTTAAAAGAAAAATAACTAAACCTTCACAAATTAATATTTCACCTTCAAATATATTACAAAAAATGAATCCTCTTCTCTTATATATTCATTTTATGACAATTCTCTTCCTAATATTCAAACTTTTCCTATTGAGCAAGAATTATTAGCATATCAAGCTCTTCCTGAACTTTCTAAATATGAAACAATACATGAAAAATACCAAAAATCTAATCTGTATATTTGGTGGAAAAATCATAAACAAAGTTTGCCCTTACTTGCTGAACAAGCTTGTATATATTTAGCAATTCCAGCATCTTCAGTACCAGCTGAATGTCTTTTTTCTACTGCTGGAAATATTGTAACATATAAACGAAATAGATTAGATTCAATAAATGTACATTATCTTTTTTTAAAAGAAAATCAAGATTTATTTAATGTTTATCCTGGTCTTTCTAAAGAAACTCAATAAAAAATTTACTAAATATTATCCGTTTTAAAAAATAAATTTAAATTTTATTAGTTCGTTTTTTTTTTTAATAAGTTCGCAAAAAGAAAAAAAACAATTTTTTTTTATTTTAAAAACAATGTAATTTATTACTTAATAATATCAAAAAAAAAACAAATTTATATTTTGTTATACTTACAGTTTGGAAAATATATAAAAAGAAATAATTAGTTTTTATTATAAAAAGAACGATTCTTTATCGACGCAAAGTGTTTAAGAATACGTACTATTATATAAAGGGAGAGAACTTATATGTTGTAATTGTTAGTCACGCAATTTCTTTATAAAGACCTATTTGGATGGGAACTAATCACACGGAGAATTCGTACCGGTCATGTCAGACTGGCGGCGCACAAATAGGCAGGATAACTAATATGATAATTAAATTTCGTTAATATTTGTCGTATTTGTTACACTCGTATGTTTGTCATAGTAAAAAGTTGGATATTTGTTATGGAAAGTACCGTACATTTAAATGATTTTCTAAAGATGGGAGATCGGCTAAGTTTCACACTACGTACTGTACAGTACAGTACTGCCGTTGGAATTAGAATAAACGACCAATATCCTAGGGAAATGTAAGTAAGTAGTAATACTGTATTTATAAGCATGATAGGGATAACGTACATTCAGTAATCGTATCATGTCATTTCTTTCAAGAGGAACTTGATGAAAGAAGGTTTTGCTAGAAATTTGATTCCGTATTGCACTTCGGAATTTCTTTTTTAACTGTGATGTCATAATGTAAATACGGTACATGCATGCACAAATAGCCTAATTAGTCAAATATGAAAGGTGTGTAGTAATTGAACACGTACCTTATATGGTAAATAATCAAAGAAAAATATTTGAAAATCTGTATATATAAACGCGTCAATTCTTTTTATTTTTCCTATATTCAAATTCAAGTACTTTCAGTATCTTTCTCTCCGTTATCTTCCCCTCTTCTCCTTCTCCCTCGCCTTTTTTCTTTAAAAAAAAAACACTTAGCGTCTGTTACTGTCCGTTACTGTCTTTTACCAACCACCATTACTGCAGGATGACTCATCAAAGCTGGTTGCAGTTCGAATTTTGGAACGAATTATTGGGTATTCATAATACTCGTTCCAATGACAGAACCTCGGATATCTCGGAATTAAACAATAGGATCGATGAAATGAATGCAAAGTTCGCAGATCTTGAACAAAAATTCGACGCCCTCCAGAAAAAATATGACTTGATTCTTGAAACGCGCAGTTCTGATAACAGGAACAGTAACCACGATATCAATGATAAAAACAATTGTTCTTCAAAATCAGCAACAACCTGTGACTGGTGCCTCTCTTCAAAATCAGATATTAACGACTGGTGCAAGGTTTGCGATACAAAAGACTTGGTTGATCACTTCTCTGACTGGTCAAGTGGTGATCACGAGGTTGACGAACTTATTAGAAGTACTCAACGTAAAGCGACAAGTAAATTTAATTTTTTGGAATGGATACCTAAGGAAAATCTTCGTAATGTCAAGCTAATAGGAAAGGGCGGATTTGGAAAAGTTTATTCAGCAATATGGATTGATGGACCTCGATCAAAGTGGGTGAGCGAAACAAAAGAATGGAAAAGGTATGGTGGAGTAAAGGTGGCTTTAAAGTGCCTTCTTGGGGATAAGCCTAATAAAGAGCTCTTTGATGAGGTCAGTATTTATGATGTGAAAGAGAAACACCAAAAAACCCTTGACTAAAAATATTTCTTTTTGTATCAACATACTGTAGATGATATTTCATCTTGACATTAACAAAAATATTCTTGGGCGCAATAACACTCTTCGAATCTTCGGAATAACCGAAAACCCCTCTACTCCCGGACAGTACATGATGGTTATGATACTTGGTGACAATGGAGACCTACGTTCCTACATCAAAAATAACTTTGCCGATTTAGATTATCAACAAAAGCTCGAAATTCTTTTTGATATGATCACTGGAATTCTTCAAATTCACAAAGCTAAATTCGTTCATCGGGACTTGCATCCAAGAAACATTATGTGTCAACAATTTATAAAACAATCCGAGGGACGAAATGACTTTAGATTTGTTGTGGGTGATTTAGGCTTAACTCGGAGGATAGTAAAACCTGAATATCTTCATGGAATTGGAGTAGTTGAATATTGCGCGCCAGAGGTGCTTGAGAAAAATAAATTTAGTGAGGCTTCAGACATTTATAGTTTTGGAATAATTATGTGGGAGTTAGTAGTTGGTATCAAACCATTCTTAGATTACTCAAACAACGACTTGATATTAGCTATTATTATGGGCCGCACACCACCGCTCACAATGCATATTGACGGCGAATCGAAAACGAAAGTGCATTTCCCACCATCATATAAAGCATTGATGGAACAATGTTGGAATCGTGATCCAAAAAAAAGGCCACCTGCTCAATTAATTTACGAAACTATAGGTGTTTGGTTACAAAATCTAATGTTTGCGCGGGAAAAAAGTATTGCTCAAGAGTTCGTAGAAGCAGATGAGAAAAGGTTATTAAAAATACCAATAAAAGTTATTGTTCCAGAAGAAAGATCAGGTATGTAATTTAATTCGGTTTTCTTTATTATTTTCAAAGATACATTCTTCCTAACATAGTTTTCTGTCAGGTAAAAAACCATCGGGAGAGATCGAGGAAGGATATGAGTCGCACGACTCTGGTAATGATATTAGCAAGTATACCAATAGATCGGATTTGTTATCATCAAGTGATCATGAAAATAGTATGAGAGTATCTAGTATTATTACCAAACTTCCTTGATGTTATTATGTGAATTACTTTAAAAAAACCCAATATTTTTCATTTTTTTTTAAAAAAAATATCAAGGTAATTGAGTACAATCTTAAGGAAATTTAAAATGATATATTTTTTGCGTGAATCGTGTAGAATTGACCGATAAATATTTATTGTACATTATTTTATTAATCTCTCATTTTGTTTATAACCGGTTTTTACTGTCGAGAAAATTTTCCCACATACTATATTATAGCATGGTTATTATCCCACACTTTCTTGTATATTGCCGGGGTAATAGCATGTAGGAGGATTATCAAGTAATTAATATTTAGGATATTAAAAATTTTTGGAGACATGGTTTAGAGATGTAGATAGGTAGTTTACACAAGAAATAAGAAAGTACGCCCTTTGAACTCAAGAATAATTATTGATGTGTTGGCAAAATTATGAAGATTATCAATACTACATTGTTTAATGAATTGAAGTACCACTAGAGTTTTTGATTCGACCATTGCATCCAATGAGTTAAACAATTCCTTAACTCGAATAATTTCGGCCTCTCATCCAGGTCTTCGTCCCAACACAAGTGACATGTGTTCATCAGAAGGTTAAACATACTTTCAAATTATTTTAGATTCGGGAAATCTTTAATAAAAACGGCAGAGTCAAAAGTTAGGAAATTAGAAAGAACAACCTATGTTAATTTATAAATAACTTATTAAAGACCAATGTAATAAATAAGTCAATCGAATAAAAAATTTAATTATTAGTGTGCCCAATAAATATTATTTTCCAGATTCGAAAAAGAGGAAGTAAGATTTTATTGCCTAGTAATGTCACGGGCTCTCCGGCAAGCCCACGCTACTAGTCGTCTCTTCGGTTCACAATAAGGTAAGTTTCTCTTTCAACTCTTGAGGCGTGTTTCCGATTTGGCCGTTCTCTCACTTTAACTTCTTTACCGACTAGCCTAGAACCCTTCGAATGCCAATTCCCGGTTCTCTCTTGTAGTCGCATAGCCCAAGTTACAAGTCTTACTTTGGCACACCAAACACAAGATAAGAGTTTATCCGTCAAACGTTACTTTATTGTTAATTACTTAAGCGTTACTAACTCTAAACTAAACTCCTAAAATCCGTCTACATGCTACTGAATGGTGCATGTATTTATACATGCGCCTGTTACAGTATTTACAGTATGTTTACATCTGATCGCTATTCTACACTACTCTAGAAATTTCCACCACTAAACTTTCCCACACCTTAATTTATCCACCTCTAACTTTTCCCACCGTCGATCCCATAACACACTAATTACGTGACGCGACGGCGTGTCACGTTACTGTGCCTACTTTATACCCACGACAGTAAATAGTGCTACTATTGCATAAAAATTATTTTTAAAAAAATCAAGCAATACCCTTTTAATAATTTTTCATTAGCATACTCATAAATATCATCAGCCAATAACACTAAATCTACCCGGTCAATTATAATAACATTATTATTATTTTCTGGCGGATGTATTTTATCATCTTTTAGATCCGTGATCGGTGATGTCGGTGCATTTATTATTAATAAATTTATCATCGAGAAAGTTTATTTCATCAAATGCATTGCGTTGTTTGATCAGTTGCCGCACAGAGCCATTCCGTTTTCGGAAACCTTATTAATCGTAATAAACTTAGGGAGAAATGGAACGCGACGTCAGTCACGTGATCGATCGTCGCGACAATGGTAATAAAGGAAGGATGGGGAGGATTGTGAAAAAGGATTATGTCATCTAGCTTTAGCCATGTAATTGTTAACACCTATTATTTCATGACCAAGCCGCCATAGCCAAATGTAAAGAAAAGGAAATATAAATAATATGTAAAAGTATAGAGATAGAGGAAAAGGAGAAAATGAGATAGTAATAAAGGAAAATTAATAAAGACTCGGTCAAATAAAACACGCCTTAAATCACCATTTCGTTTACTTACCCAATAACGGTTACGCGAATCTCTGCTAGAGTAAGCGACAGACTCGTCGTTACACCGTTACAATATCAATACGTACACTGCAAACGTCAGTGATGATTATGCGTGATTATACTCTAGTTCACTTTTTTTTTCGGACAGATTAAAGTCGGCAATAGAGATCTCATACTTTCATCAAAATAGATGTTCAACATACCCTAAAGACAGAAACCTTTAATAAATATAAACCACTTTATAATGTCATGTCGAAATTGCTATTATAGTCATACTATTGAGATCAAATTTAACACAAATCTCCATAGGGCATTGTAAGCCTTCTTCATTGAATAATGTTCGCTCGTTTATTATGTAAAATAAACACTATTCTAATCAAGTTGTCTCAAGACTTGATTCGAGTTGGTTTTTTTGTCAAGCAAAATACGAAACGAAATTTCGTTTATACAGACACATCTTTGAAATGACAAACGAGCAATTTTTGGTTTCTTAGGTTACTTTGTAAATTCACCATTATGGAGTCATGTGAATTGTCGCGTCAAATTCATTCATTAATACATTATTGGGATTCATGGCAATTAATTTCTAGAGTTATTTCGTTTTCTTTGTTTTTCTAATTATTAATTGCACGAGAGGTATAAAAATATAAGAAAAATAAAGAGAAAAGGATGAATCAGTCAATTATTTATTGTTCCTCAAATAAGTTGCACGAAATCTGATCTCACGCAGACTTGCGAATTGCCTGTCACGATTTTAATAGTGTTAGGGGCGAAACGGCGAGTCTATCGCTAAACCGGGGCAGTGCTCGCGTAAAGCTACTGTCAGTCGAAGGGTCAGTCTCTCTCTGACTTACAAACTTCCTCGCTCACTGGATCTTTGTTCTCAATAATCGTGGCGTTATGAATTATCCTTTTGGGCGACTATCACTGGTTAAGGTAGGTATATTGATTATGGTTTTCTTTATTTGGATATTGCGCAACGAGTACAAGTTGTAATTTATTAGCTCAACGGGCTACTATTTATAGTAGGGCAGACGCGTCTCTTATAACTGCGACGCGTCATGTAAATTGACTGATACATAGATTGATGCATCAGTGGCAACACGACATATCCCAAACTCTCCTATAGTCTATTCTAATTACATCAGAGTTTACAATTACGTACTATGCCTATTTTATATGCCAACAATAGAAAAATATGCACTCGCTTTTTATAATCTATATTTTACATTTGTCTAGCCAATATTTGGCTTTCTCCTTATCTTTCGCGGTTCCAATTCCATCGCGATAACAAATACCAAGATTTTTTTGTCCTTGAATATTTCCTCCTTCAGCAGATTTCTGATACCATTGAAATGCTTTATTACGGTCTTTGGTGGTTCCAATTCCTTTCTCATAACAATATCCAATACTACATTGCCCATCACTATTCCCGCCTTCGGCTGATTTTGTATGCCACGTAAATGCTTTACTGGTGTCTTTATAGGTTCCAATTCCATTCCCATAGCAATATCCAAGATTATTTTGTGCAATGACACTTCCACCTTCAGCAGATTTCCTGTACCATTGAAATGCTTTCTTGTGGTTTTTAATAATTCCAACTCCCTTCTCATAGCAATGTCCGAGATTACATTGCCCATTGAGATTTCCACCTTCAGCAGATTTCATGTACCAATGAAATGCTTTAGTGTAGTCTATAGGAGTTCCAAGTCCCTTCTCATAACAATATCCAAGATGGCATTGCCCATTTGGACTTCCACCTTCAGCGGATTTTATGTACCACTGAAACGACTTTTCATAGTCTTGAGCGGTTCCTTTTCCAGTAAAATAACAATATCCAAGATTACTTTGTCCCCAACTATTTCCACCTTTAGCGGATTTCATGAACTGTTGAAATGCTTTCTCGTAGTCTTGAGCAGTCCCAATTCCATCTTGATAAAGAACCCCAAGAGTCATTGCATTTTGAGGGGTTTCCTGATATTTAACTAATAAATTAAAAACCTGTTCCAAAGTTGTCTGGTTATTCTCAATGAACGTTTTAATACAAGTTGACAACTTTGAATTAGAAAGTCCCTTGTTTTTGCAATCAATAAGTAATTTATATAGCTCATTCAGCGCGACAAATTCGAAATTC